TCCGGCGTCGAGTAGAAGTCTGACGTCAATCGGCAACCGGGGAGAACTCCAGCGTTAGATGGAATTCGGGCAAAAATAAAGAGTTACTTGGAGATCAGACAGAAATCCGGCTTCACTTGAAAGTCAGGAGGAACTCCGGCGACACTTGAAAGCCGGGCGGAACTCCGGCGTCACTTGAAAGTCCGGCAGAATTCTGGCGGTGGTCGAGGAGGAGCTTCTTCCCTCCTCTTCTTCTCTTCTCCTCTCTTCTTCCTTCTTGCTTGGTTCCCTCTTAAGAGAAATAAGGGGCAATTTATAGCTTTTTTAGGATGGCATGACCCGTAAATAGGAGGAGAACCAAGGGTAAATGTCGAGTGGTTTGGATGGACGGCGGATATTGAATCCCTTGATCGTAGACTGTTTGTAAGACATTTGAAGGTCTTAATAATATCAAAATATGGTGATCTTGAGCTTGTTGGATTCGCCTCGTCTAGCCGCTCGATTCGACTATAAGCTTATCATGTTTGGAAACCATTTGGTAATCCAAATTGTAGTTTGAACCTTCCAATAGTGCTTTGAGTCTTCGATTCAGTCACATTTGGGCTCAGATCGAGTTGAATTTGGTGTCGTTGGGTTCGTATTTCTGAGACGCTCAGTTTAACTATAAGTTTGATGAAATCGGAGTTCAGATGGTCCCAGATTTAATTTTTGAAGATTCCATCCTGATTTTGCCTCGAGATTCATACCCGTTCAAGATATTTTTTGGGGGATATATCAATCCCCTTATGATAGATTGAGTGAGCACTATTAGGAGGCAACAAAAGATGAAATTAATTTCATTTATATATATTGTAATTTCTAGAAACTACATAAATTAATCATTATCATTTCTTTAATCAAATTAAAAAGAGGAGAACTCAACCCACTTGAGAATATTATAAATCAAATGAAATATATGAGATGTGTTGAATTCTTAGAGCTTGCATTTGGCATTATGAATAAACCAGATAATGTGAGTATTGGATTTGGGCCATCATATATAACAATTCAATTCACTAAACTGGCCCCAAAATTTCTTTATTGGATAGCTATGTCCACTTGTGCTAGCTCATTATATTTAGCAGACACATAAGAATGTTTTGGAAAGAGTTAAGGGGTTTATTAGGCTAAATATGCGTTCACGTTTAGCTTTGAGGGCATGTCCTTAATTTTTCATGGTGTGAGCTGTGCGGTTGAATTATTTTGTCAAGGGTTCAATTCTGAGTTGATTATCACTTCGTAAGAGCTGCATACCACAACTGATATGCCAATATTTGGTCATTTCTGTGAGTATTATTTTCCTTCCTCCTGATGAATGAACTTTTCCACAAGAGACTTTCTGCTGATAGGAACGAGAGAGGATAGGCGAGTTGTTTCGTTTTAGCAGTTTTGCGCAAAGCTACTCAGCTATAAGTTACTATTATTAGCAAGTCTATAAGGTGAAAAAGCCTACCCTATGTTTTCTCGAGGCCACTATCCTTAGAGAGGATTACATAGATCAATGTACTATGTTATCACATGATCCCCCTGACTTAGCCTAATATAAGAATAACTTATTAGAGCAGAAAGACACCAGCCATTCTAAGAATCAATGAAAATTTATTTTTAGGGCTATCATAGCTTTCAAGTACTACCGAAAATAGGGATATCGTAGCCATAATTTTTCACTCATCCCAGCGGTTATACTGCCATTAATTTCTTTGCAGCGGTTTTAAAGTTGTTGTAACCCCGGACTGTTAATGCAATGCTTGATGATGACATTTCACAGCAATTTTTAGGACAACGAAGTAGATTTAACTAAGCCTTAGTTTGGGACAGTTTTTTTTAATTGCTTCTTAAAATAGGTTTCTAATTTAAAAATTGAAATTTTTATACTAAAAAAAGCTGCTTTAAGAAGAGTAGAAAAGTCATCGCCAAACGAAGCCTAAGTGCTAGATTTCATAGCGTTAATAATTTTCATCCTAACGCTACAATATAGTATCGATACAATCTAGAGCTATAATAGTTTTAAGTCGCATTCTCTTAAGAATACATGTATTAAATCGACCTAGTATCATTTTAATTAAGTTTTTTGCTCTGAGAAAGCCCAACCAAATTCAATGAATTCTGAATTTGAATGTTTTGAAATTGCAGAAGTAATTTTAAATTTTTAATAATATTATAAAATAATTTAAAGTATTCAAATATATTGGAAATGCTTTGACCTAAAAGTCGCAATGAACTGTTTGAACTTGATATTTTAAAATCAATATTTGTAAAAAAAAAAAAAAACAAAACAAAACGTAAGTGAGAAGTTAAAGTCAAAGCCTATATTCCCAATAAATAGTTAGGGAATATAAGAAATGATTAATGATATTTAAAAAGTTAATCAACTTGAAAACAATCTAAGTTGTTCTTCCAAAATTCTCAAAACAAGTTCTTTTACATTCTCAAATATTGTGGTTATTTTAAAATTTTATTTAATATTTTTATAATTATTTCCCAAAGTATTTTCTTATTTTAGTTGGATTAAATCCAAGATCAGCCTTAAGACCATATCTTTTTTGCTTTAGTCATTTATGTTATCACGAGACATTTGCAAGAGGTTGTACCATAGTGTATGCTTTTTGCTAATGATATTCTTGTTGATAAGACTAGAGAGGGAGTTAAAGATATATTTGAATTATGCATGTCAATTTTATAATCTAAAGGTTTTCATTTGACTAGATCTAAAATTGAATATATGGAATATAATTTTAATAGTAATAGATCTAGTGGGGTGATTGTGATTTTGGGCATTCAAATCATTAATAAGAATACACATTTTAGATATATTGGATCTATTGAACAAAGTGATGGTGAAACAGATTGAGATATTATTAGTAGAATTGAAGTTGGATGGTTGAAGTGAGAGAATGCATCAGGCTTGTTGTTTGATAAAAAAGTCCCCCTCAAACTTATGTGAAAATTCTATAAGATGGTGGAGAGACCTGAAATGTTTTATGGTACAGAATGTTAGCCATAAAAAAAGAATCATAATATTAAATGTTGCAAAAATGAGAATGCTCATGTGAAAAGGTTGGAATAGTTCCAATTGAAGATAAGATTAGAAAGAATCTCCTTAAATGGTTTGGTCACATGAAACAACAACCTTATGATGACCCAATTAGAAAAATAAGATGTATTAAATTTGACTTATGTTAAGAAAGGGAGAGGTAGACCTAAAAGACATGGTTAAAAAGTATTAGAAATAACATTTGTTTATTAGATTTAAATGAGAATTTGATTCATAACAAGCCACAATATAAAAAAATGATTTATGTAACTGACCTTAAGTAATAGGATAAATGCTTGTTGTTGTTATCATTATTGTTCTTGTATAATTATCTACCAAGTAATAAAAAATAATGAAAAATATTAAAAAATTAAAAATTTTCTACAATATTTCACGATGTCCGTTGTTTAGAGGAAGACCAAATTAAGTCCTAATTAATTTCAAAAATTTTATATCATTAAAAAGAGAACATTTTAATAATGAAAATTCCATAGCCTTAATAATCTAGAGATCCAGCAATTTTAAAAAAATAATAATAACTAATTAAATACATTTTGTAAGCTAAAATTAGAAAACAAATTAATATATGAAATTTTAAATGTAGCTTCAAAAGATATAGAAGGATAAATATATGAAATTGAGACTTTCCTTTTTTTTTTTTTTAATTCTAAATGTTTCAATTACAACTTACCAACCATGAATTACTAAGAACAAATTAAACTACTCAAATCTGATCAACTAAAGATCATTCTCCCTCGAATACATTATCTTATTAGCTTACAACACATTGTACTTCGGCGTCTGACTTCTACCTCATTAAATAAAAGCCTATATAATACTTATTACTATTATTTTTTAAAACAGAGAATAGGGGTGGTTTCTGATTTGATTAGTTTCCTTGTTTGGATGTTGGAAGTGAAAAATAAGAATTGAAGGAAGCGAAACATTTTAGCTATTTAGTTACAAAATAAGTGAAAAAGGACTCTTCCAAAAATTGTATTGATGCAACGTTTAAGATATTTATTAAGTTCAATTTAAGCAATTTTCACAAAAGATTATTACTGTAACTTTATATTAATCTTGCATGTCATCCTGTTCCGTTCATCCTTATATTTTGCAGGTTATACGATCTTCTAAAAGATTGGCTGAACTTCAAAATGTAAATGAGCTAAATTGAGTCGAGTATCTGTCCAATCAAATATTCATATGCTTGAGCTCTTTTAGAAAGCTCGAGCTTGATGACTCGATTGTTGAAAGATTCCTCCCGCCATGCTATAAATGGTATGTACTATGCTCTACTCATAGCTTTAAGCACGCCACTAACAGGATCCACCAATGGCATACAATCATCGCTGACAAGCTTCCTCTTGCCGCACTAAAAATAAAAAAAAAAACATGTATGGAGCTCCAATCACCACCTTAAAATTTTGCTAAAAGGGTCCACCCATGGCATCACAAACGACGCTGACCATCTTCCTCCTACCATGCTAAGAAATGGGTATATGGTGATCCACTCGTCACGTCAAGCACGATTTACTTCGCCTTGCATATAACCTAGTATTACTTTGATATAAGTATATTATTTATTATTTCATGTTTGTATTAATTTAATAATTTTATTTAGAGACTTGCACATCAAAATATGCAGTTGCATATGCCTCGCCTAATAACAATAAAAAACCTCAATCCCCAACAGTGTTATTTTAAACCTTGGCCAAGAGTTTTTGGAGGCAGTTTATAAATCCTTTGGTTTTATATGCTTTGAAGCAAGATCATCTGATCAAATATAATATTGCCGTCTCACCAGTTTGCATTATGATTTGGATCTAAGAAAGTCATCATTCTGTAAAAGTTCTTCAAACCTAGCAAAGAAACACTGATCTTAGATGTTCAATTTAGCATTTTTCCCAAGAGATTACCATGCTAGACCAGCAACTACTTGGCTGTGTGGTGTTTTCCTTTGACCTTCAAATTGGAGGTCTAAGGGTTCAAAACTAAGCAGTACCAAAAAAAGAGATGCCATATATCTAAGAAAAATAGTAAAAATTACAATCGGAAATGGAATTTTTTGGTGGAAACATGAAACATAAGATAAAAGCATGAATACTAGACTCAAATAACGCCTACCTCTGGTAATGTGAGAAAAAGTATCGAATCACTTTCAGTTGGCGGTCTCATCCTCTTGATTCAACAGAGTCCGGTTCTTCAGCTACAGTAAGCCATTAAATAGTTAGAAAACAGCCCAGTTTGGGAACTAAAATTCAAATATATATATATATATATATATATATATAAATATAACAATTAAATAATTAGAAGAAACCCATAAGTTACCTCACAACATTTTAACACAGCTTATCAAAGAAAGGCGCCTCCAGTGAACAAGAGACAAATAAGATAACTGTTAAAGTAAATACCTTTTCTTGGCATATTTTTGATAAGGCTTCGACATGACAATTTTGCATTTCTTCAAGGGCTTTGACATCAAGGCCGCCAAGATCCTCACCCTGGAACAAATAATTAAATAAATAAATAACGATTACTTGGTCGAGGCATTATCATAGAATTCTAAAATAGAGGTTCAAGGTTCACCCATGAAAAATTAAAAAAAAAAAAATATTAATATTAATATTTTATCACATAGATCCTGAAATCTATGACGAGCGCATGCGATTCTCTCAAACTGAGCAGTTGAAGGCCTCTTTAGCTACAAGTAAGATTGCACTCAAATAGGATTTAGTAAATGCTAAGACGGTTAAATCCTGAAAATTGTTAGGCAAGATGGAAGTTAAATCTAGATAAATTGTTTGGCCAGGTACTACAAAATTTAAATCTATTAACTCAAATAATATTTTAATAATCTTACATTATTTTTTAAATATTTATATTTAATTACTATTGGGAGGATGCAAAGGCCACACAAGGGAAAAGGTTAATCTTGTGAGGAGAAAGAAACGAACAAGAAAAAAGATATTGAGAACACAAACATATGAAATGAAGTGTGCGTGCAAGACAGAGAGTTTGAGGAGGTAAAAGAGTCGGAAGAGAGATAATCAAGGGAAACCATAAAGCAATGCTCAATAATCATTCACTCTGTAAAACCCGAAATCGACGATCGGAGGCGTCGCACGCATTCGATGCGTCGCGACAAGATTTAAGGGAAAAAATTCAAAGTTAACGGATTTCGACGGAAATAATTTTATAAAATTCTACGCAAAATTCTGAACAATTTGGTATATAGAACTTATAATTAATTTTGTGTATTTTGAGAGATAAAAATTTTAGAAATCTCATAATACCTATTATACCCCTAATTAATATCAAAATCGAAATAGTTTAAGTGAGGGCAAAATTGGTATTTTGGAAATCCCTAAGCAACTAATCATATAAGGGACCAAATTATATATTCGGTCCCACATTTTTTTCGGCCGAACCGTGAGGGGGTGTCAAAATGGGCATTCGGGGCAAGTTCGGATCGAACCCGGAATTGACTCGGGTCCGATTCAACTGACATAAACTCATCCGTTTTGCAAACAGGTCAGAAATTCAGACCTAGACCCGACTTGTCAGGTTGCCGGGTGACCTGACCCGACTCACCAACCCGGGTTGCGAGCAAACTGAAGGCGAGTGAGGGTGTGGGTCATGCGAGTGAGGGCAAGGGCAAGGGTGCAAAGCATGCGGGCAGGCGTCGGATGTGAATGCAAGCCTGCGTTGTGGGACTGTAGGGTACAAGCGCGAGCAAGGTCAACACAAGCGCAGACAATGTGAGCGCATCTGCCCTGCTTGTGTGGGTGCGATGTGGCAGATGCATCAGGATACGGGAAGATGGATGTGTAGCTGGAACTCGAGTTAGATTCGGGTCAAATTAGGATTAGCAGGTTGATCCGAACCGACCTGATTTTTCAAACGGGTCATAAATTGGAACCCAAACCCAACTCGTTCATTAAACGGGTTGACCCAAACCCGAATTTTTTGGCCCAGGTTAAGGTCGGATCAATAATTAACACCCCTATTCATATCTCAATCTTCCACCTCTTCCTCAAAATTCTCTCTCCAAACATAATTCATCCCTTTTAAACAATTAAGATATCAAATGCATTCCTCACTATTTGCTTCAATTGATTTGCTCATCATTAGGCTTGTAATTAACAAAATGTTACAATAACCTCAAACATAATATAAATCTATTATTTGCCTATTGTACAAATATAACTTCTTAGGAGGTCAGTCATCCCAAGATTGCTCCCGCAAGAGCACCCTTAACTTTGGAGTTTCGTAATAAAATTCAAACCATTACACTAAAAGGCACCTTGCCGTTTAAGAGTTTAATTTCTTTTACTTAAAAGGTTTTACATGACATTCGCCTATGCCTAATCTTTTTACATGCTATCAGAAAAGGTTTATAGGAACTTTATAATAATACATGCTTGGTAATGCTTTTAATTAATTCACTATACATTTTTAAGACAACAAAATGAATTTTAGGTTGCTTAATAAAGTGTAAGCCAACTATTTGAAACATTCTCTTGCCATTAAACAAATTTCAAAGTAGCTTCAGTGGTGTAAAGGTCAAAACTAATTTATCTTCCTAAAGGGGATTTACCTTGCTTATTGTTCATCAAAACTCCATGAAAAGGTTAAACCTAAAATTTATTTTGAGTTTCAAAAGAGTTTTAGTATTTGTTTAGGACCTTGTAGGAGTTAAGCAATATTATACAAGCCTTAGGTTTGCCTTGGTTTGAATTGAACTAAATTCAATCTGAACTACTCCCATTCAGGTTCTTTGCTATCATACTATTTCTAAATTCTATATAGAGCCTCTCAAATAACCTCAAAGAGATTATGATTTAGTACTAATCTTTTCTAAAACCAAACACTATATTCCATTCCAGTTTTTTTTATCTCAAAGTCATCAAATTATCTCGAATGCTTTGCTTAGGACTCGAAGCCTTACATTCCTCATTTGATGAACCCAATTAAACAAATGATATTCACCCCTAAAACTCATAGTTTTTAAAACACTATTTTCTTTCAATTCCAAAATTAGAAAATAAAATGTTCAATTAAAATTGTATTTATTTCAACCCAATTTACGCAAAAAAACAAAAATTTGTTAGTGAAAGAAAAAGCATACAATTTCCCAAAGTCATAGGATCTCTTGTATTTCATTAACCCCAAAGCGATTGAAACAATATTCTTCACTTGGTTGGACCATCCAAAACCAAATGAATGAATATAACCTTTAATCTAGATCCAAATTATAGTTTCCATATCTTAGCCAAAATAAGTAACTTAATCAAAATTAAAATATAAGAGTAGACGCATAAACATACCCTAAACTCAATCATAATGTGTTAATTCAGAAAGATCGGAGAAGAAAAAGGCTTAATTTTATTACACAAAACTAGTCCTATTTGTAGATCTATAAAAGACATCTTAATAAAGAAACTATGAAATCATGCATAATTGCCTTAATATAATCCTTCATAAATCAACCGCCCGAATATGTAAAGAGATCGGCATGATCCAGGTGAACTTCCCACGAATCCCCATCCTAGCCGTAGGATTAAGAGAGAAGAGATGGCTAGGATGGTTGGGATGGTATTTAACACTCCCCCTCAAGCTAGAGAATACAGATCTGGCATTCCTAGCTTGGTAATCAGTCCCAAAAAGGTAGAGTTATATTAAGCAGGGCAACAAATAAGACTGCATTGGTTATAGATAAGATAACTCCAATAAAGGAAGGTCGTCAATGAAGGTATGATAGTAGAAAAAAAAAGTTTTTTGGGTGGTCAAGCTTCAAGGACAACAACAAGAAAACACATCTTAAGTGGCTCAGCCCTCGGCACGCAAATCTCCTCCCGTTTGATCGAGTTAGCCTTCGACCCAATGCAAATCAGTTGCCCAACCCCACCTGAACAGACTCCTGTTTGATCAGCCCCTTACAAAGCGCACATAAGGCCTCTAATCCTTCTAGTCTGATCTGAGGAAGAACAACAGATCTCGCACTCCTGCATGTCCCAACCCTAGACCAGCACGAGAGGGAACTCTTGGCTCTTTTCAAATGCACGTAGGAGCCTTTCGCTCGGCTCTGCCCCAAAGGCAGGCAAGAGTTCTCCCGCTCGATCTTGGACGCACGAAGGAAATAAGACCAGTATTGATCAAAATTCCGACAATGAAGGCTGGTGGTAGGAACCAGTATTCCTCAAAATTCCAACAATAAAGGCCGGTGGGGGGAGTCAATATTTCTTAAAAATTTGGCAACGAAGGTGGGTGGTGGGAACCTGTGTTCCTCAGAATTCAAACAATGAAGGCCGGTGATGAGAACTTGTATACCTCTGAATTTTGGCAATGAAGGCCGCTGGTGGAACCTGCAGAACTCGTAAGCACTAGCTTCTTCAAATCAGGATAAAGTTTTAATCTCTCTGTAACCTCACCATTGATATCCACAATAAACTCCCAACTTAGGGAAGTAGCGTACTACATCATCTGCATGCTCACCAACTCTTCGGTCACCATAAACACGCACTGGACCGTAGCAATGAACTAACTTACCACCAAAAAAGCCATCTTCATCCCCATTTTGTGCATCATCTGGGCAACTAGACGTACAATGATCAGTCCATCAGCGAGCTTCGAATCCAGCGAATCAACTTTAGTCTAAATGCGACCAGCAAGGTTCTCAATGATGATTCTGTCAAAGACAACAAAGAAGGAGAGAACATTTGATATGAGGGATTGCTGGTGAAGATCTTGAAAGAGGTCAACCTCTTCTAATGTCCAGAAAGAGGCTTCGGACCTCTTGAACATATCCGATATTTGAGGGTAGCAGATCGAGAACATGCAGAAGTAGTCAGGATTTGGGGCATGGACACACACAAGTAGGAACAAAATGAAAGAACTAGCTCTCCCTCTCGCTCCTGTTTTTGAAGAACCGAGTGCCTTGCTTTGATACCATGTTAAATTCAAAGAATTGGAGAGGGAAAAAACTTAATTTTACTACACAAAACTACCCTATTTATAGATCTATACAAGATATCTTAATAAAGAAACTATGAAATCATGCATAATTGCCCAAATATAATCCTTCCTAAAATAGCCACCCGAATATGGAAGGAGATCAGTGTGATCCAGGTGAGTCCACCAAGGATCCCCATCTTGGCCAAAGGATCAAGAACAAAGGGACAGCTAGGATGGTTGGCATGCATGTTATTTAAAATTCCCCCTCAAGCTAGGGAATACAAATTTGTCATTCCCAGTTTGATAATCAGTACAAAAAAGATAGAGCTATATTAAGAAGTGAAGCAATGAAGGCTATATTGGTTATAGATAGGATAACTCCAATAAGGGAAGGCTGACAATGAAGGCGCGGTAGTAGAAAGAAAAAAAAAAAATTCTATTTTTAGGATTGTGGAAGCTTCACGGGACACCGGCAGAAAAAAGATGTCTCAGAGGCTCAACACAAGGTAGCATGACCAAAACGGGCCTACAAAAGTCTGAGTCAGGCCAAATTTTACTTCAAGTAGACAAGAAAAAATTGTCAGCCTAATTTTGAGCAAAGGGCAAAAGAGAGCAATG